GAGTTCTGAGTGGAGCAGCAGCGGACCAACAGCCTGGCAATGTGCACTCTGTTCCTACTTCATTTTTAAGGGACTTCCATGTCACTGAACCAAAGTCATGATAATCTTGGGTAAACATCTATTCTATAAGATATCTGATCAGCCTATGGACTGCACAGAATTATTATAAGCTTCACATGAAAAAAATTCAATCCTTTAATAACGGTTATACCACACAGAATAAAAAATTATTCATTATTCATTAATTATTCTTTCTTCACTTACTATTTACACATATTCATTGTCCAGTTAGGAAAATGTAGCTTTAGTACCTCAGTTTTTAAAAAAAAATAATATGATGTATCAAAATGAACTTCTTCTGACAGTAAGGTACTGTATACACTAATTGCCAAGTAATATTTTCCTTATAATAATATATAATTTTCCAAGAAGAGTATATTCAAAAGTTAATTTTAAGACACATAAAGAACAAAATATCTTGCATCTGATGTTTTTCATATGATTGTGATCAGAATATAATACCCGATGAAAAAGTTTAGAAATAGTAAAAGATTCAATATTTAAATTTATTATAAGAAAGCAGTGGACACACATTTTAATAATAATTTTAAGCATATACATATATTCCCTAAAATAAATTGTGCTATTAAAATACATGTATGTATGTGTGTAGCTATGTCTTTATCTATATAGTTTATATATTACACACGCACATATGCATTCTCTCTCTCCAAACATGCACACACACTTAGATATACACATATAAACTTAGATAGGTAGGCTTTCATCCTCATTTCAAACCAGAAAATACTCAGAGGGAAGGTAAGAAAGAATGAAACTGCTCTTTTTGCATACTCACACACACCACATGTACCCCGTCCCTTCCTCATCACTTATATGCTCTCAATAATGTTTTCCTTCCTGTGGTTTTCACAACAATCTTCAATGGCTCCCTATCTTCTCAGCTTCCACTTGAACCCTTCTCAAGAATGTCCAACCTTTGTGCCTGAAGAAAGACTAATAAGACAGTCTAGCCTGGAAGTAAAGTAACAGGTTCTAAAGTGTGACTCTTGACTCCACTGTTCACAAGTCATATGTTTGGGGAAGTTGCATATCACTTTAAACTTATGGTTTATTGTTATGTAAACCTATGGCCTCACAGACAGTTTCCTATTAACAGGTGACTCTAGAAACCAGATATCAGATCTGTGTCTACAAAACATACCTGAAAGTGAACAGCTTCGAAAACAGCTTAATGCCAGGTTGGCCCTGAGGAAGAGGGTAAATCTGCCTGGTGGACAGTATGTTGAATAGTGTATGTAGTTGCTCATTTGCTTGGAAGAAGAAATGTCTAGAGGTACAATTCTATACCACATGATGAATAGCAGCTAAAGGCTTGGCAGGTTGGTCAAGGAATGTGAAGAAATGCTATTGAAAAATTGGTGACAAGAAGTCTAGAAAAAACAGACTCCTCTAAATGAACACAGAGTGAAGAGATACTCATGTATCATCTAAATACTCACCAAAAGGATACTGAGCAGAGGTATACTAATCATCACGTGGACAAGCTAACTCGTTCTTATGGCTATCACCCTCTATCTCAGCACTAAACTTCACAATTGCTCAGAGACAAAATGCTCTGGACAGCAGAAATGGAGGTTATGTGTGAGCTCAACAAGACAGATTTACACTCATAAAGACTAGCCTGCCTACAGTCACTGCTGAGTGCCCAATCTACCAAACAGACAGACGAATACTGTACCTCCATTTGCAGCATTCCTTGGGGGACAAAAAGGAAGCAGTTAGGCATCAGTGCCAGGTTGATTTCATTGGACCATTTCCATCATGGGAAAGGTGTCACTTGTTCTCATTTGAATACACAGTTACTAACCATGTAGATTTATCTTCTCTCCCTATGAATTTTCTGTGAATATCATCATCTACAAATTTGCAAAATGATTTCTTTAACACCATGGCATACAAAAGAGCAGATTCTGACCAAGACTTATTTTGCAGCAGTGATATACAGTAATGGGCTCATGTTTATGGGAGTCACTCACCTCACCATGCTTCCCATCACTGATTGAGTGGTAGAACGACCTTCTTAAGTATTAGTTGCAGCAATGACTGGATAACATCACCTTGCAAGGCTGAGGCAATGTCTTCTAAGATGCTGGACATGCTCTAAATAACCAACAAATATATGGTACTACCTTTCCCTAAGCCAGATTTATAGGACTCAGATTCAGCTGTGGCTGCTCCAGTTACCCGTAGTGATCCACTACAGAAATATTTTACTTTCTGTTCCCGTGACTTTGGGCTTTGCTGCTGTACAAGTCTTCAGCTTCTACCACAGGGACCACAGCAATGCTTCCATTAAACAGAAGTTGAGAGTGCCACCTATCCACGGGAAAGAGACTTTGTGTCCTCTTGGGAGAGAAAAATCAGTGAGCTGTTTTATGAGGAAAAGTTGCATCATGTTAGGTGAAAGCATGTTTTTGCTATTGTCTTCATTTGAAATATAAGTATGATTAGAAAAAAATATACATTGATGTTAGTTTACATTGACAAGAAAAAATATACATTGATGTTAGTGAGCTGTTTTATGAGGAAAAGTTGCATCATGTTAGGTGAAAGCATGTTTTTGCTATTGTCTTTATTTGAAATATAATTAGAAAAAATATACATTGATGTTAGTTTGCAGTGATGTTAGATTACTGTGGCTTCTAAGTGTCAACTTAGTTAAGCATTAGTTCTAAATCCAATAATTAATCCTATATTCTATAATACTCATACCACAGTAAACCCTAATGTAATTAGTATGCAGAATACATAAAAGCTTATACAAATAAGCAAGAAAAACTAAATAGAAAAATGGAAAATAAACTAACAGAAAAGTAACACAAAATAAAAAAATAAGCCTAACACAGGATGTTCAACCTCTTCAGTCATCAACGAAATATAAATTAAAGCATAAAGCAAATAAAGCAACTATTGCACAGTAATAAAAATAGCAATCATTAAAATGATTGAAAATTCTAAGACTGAGCTTGGATGTATAACAAGAGTAAATTGTACACATTGCTCGTGAGAATGTAAACTATTTTAACCACTAAAATTAGCAATACTTATAAAACTACATATGGGTATTCCTTAAGACCTGCAAATTCCATTCTTGGGAAGAACCCTACAGAAATTTTCACATAGTAAAGTGGGTAAGAACATGTAATGTCACTTATCTAAAGAATAATGATAGGAATACATACTATATATGAGACTGAGGAACAACACAATTACCATGAAGTTAGTCATTTAGGGAAGGAGTTGGTCTCCCTGTCAACTGTGGCTGGAAGCCTATAAAATATCCCCAGTGGTCCTTGCTTTCAGGCAATCAAACTCTTGTATAACCTCCTCCCCTTTTGTATGGCCTTGGTTTAACAATTCATTTCTAGTGGAAAAAGAAAAACTCACTTCAAGTGGTGGAGATGATGAAATGTCAATGAAAAGATTAGGCTATAAAAAGACTGTGGCTTCTTGCTTTGGTACCCACTCTCACTTTGAGGAGTGCCAGCTGGTACACTGGGAGCTCCCCTACGATATGACCCACATAACAAGGAACACGTATTTCCAGCCAATATCCAGCGAGGTCCTGAGGCCAATCAATAGCCAGTTAGAGAGTTTGGATATGGACCCTCCGTGAGCCGTGCCTTGAGATGATTACAGGCGTGTCTGACACACTGATTGCAGAAGCGGGTGATCCTGGGACAGAGACATCCAGCAAAGTCATCCTTAGATTCTTGACAAACAGAAACTGTGAGCTAATGCTTATTGTTCTAAGTCACTAAGTTCAGGGTGATTTGTAAAATAGCAACAGGTAACTAACTAATATGCCCTCTTATAATCATTGCAAACCTATGGTGGTAAACATATTCATCATTTTCATGCTAACAGAGACTCGGAGTTATTTAAAGGCACCCATTAATTCAACCAATAATTACTGAAAGCCTAATCTCTCAGGCTCTGTTATAGGATTAAGTTGTAAAAAAATAAAAAGACATCCTCAGTCTATGCTTTTATGGCATTTTGGACACAGACAATAAACAATAAAATGTATCTTGTGCCAGACGATGATACTTTCCATGGAGATAAAGCAAAGAAGCAGGATAGACAAAGCCCGGCCTAAGTAGGGGCTGCAGTTTTATAAAGGGTAGCCAAAGCTTTCACTAAAAAGATGACATATGAACAAGACCCTGAGAAGTGGGATAGAGTGTGAGTATGTCTAGAGGAAGTGCATTCCAAACAGAAGGAAAAGCAAGTGGAAAAGGCTTGATGCAGGAGTGAAACTGACCAGCACAGAATTTTAAGGGGCATGTGTACCTTTTGAAAAATGTTACCTTTAACTCTGCAGTGAAATAACAGTGGGTTTAGAAAAGAGGAATGACATCACTAAGCTAATATTTTAAATGATCATTCTGGTTACTGTGCTGCTGTTCTTGAAAAAGACTGTGTGTGGCAGGATAGAAGAGGCAGGCTTAGGGGGACATTAAGTATAGAAGCAAGGACACCAGCTAGAAAGTTTTTATACTAATCGCAGTGAGAGATGGTGGTTCGGTTCAGACCAGGAAGAAAAAGATGAAAGATGTGAATAATGGTCAGATCATGAATATGTTTTAAGGAAGATTCTATAGGAATCACCAGATAATTGAATTAATTCATAAAGTACATGTGTGTACATCCATTGAATGTACCTAGTATAAATCATTAAGCTAGCAAAACACATTATATTGATTATATTTTCACATATTTGTTACTCATAATTTCCTGTGATCTATACCCACCCTTAAAGCTTTGTTTCCAGACATTACAATGATTACTTTCAATGAGTTTTTAAGTTTCAAATGTATTTTAATTTTTAAATTATGCCATAGTTAAATGAGCAGCAGAGTGCTTCAATGACAGGTTGATTTTGAAACAATTCTGCATTACAGCAACGGTGATGGTTACTGATCATTCCACTTTTTGGGGGTGACTCTGCCAACGGGGGACAGGTTCCACTCTATTCCAATCTGTGTGTTTGTAAATATCCACGCAACAGCACAGAAAGTGGTTCCACTGACTAGTACAGTGTTACCATATTTGTCATGAAAATCTGGGGAGTGGTTTCCATGGCTGTGTTTTGCCCTAATTTGCTGAATGCTTTGACTCTTGAGACTTCTTAGTATACTTCTAGTCAAGGGAAACATCGTGAAGGTGTGACAGGACTGCAGTTGATTGCAGACACTGGTCAACTTCCTTGTAAATAGACCTGAAAAAACAAAGGATGAGCAATGAAATCTGATCTGCATTTTTTCCTCCCTCTTTGAACGTCTCTCCCACACTACCTCTCCAAGCCTGGCCAGGCATCTGCGTTTTGATATCATGATGTCTGCATTTGAGGCTCAGCTCTGCCCCTGTGTGGTAGGGCAGTTATTCAACCTCTCTTTGCCTTAGTTTCTTCAGCGGCAAACTGAGACACTATTGTTCAACTCCAAAGGGTGTAGTGAGGATTTTATGTGATAATCCATTACAAAAATAACCACAAAAATAAGCACACAATATGCGTTAGCTTTTCTATTCTTTGCCAATAGCCAATGGCTTGCTCCAGAGAGACACTCCAAACTCATCTGCATGGCTGATAAAGTGGCTAACATCCTCAACCTGTCCCAGTAGTCCAATGGTATGCCTATGTGTACGATAAATGCTAACTTCAGTCAGAGTTACAAAGCATTCACAGATTGTCATACTCTACCTCCTTTTCCTGCTTTTTCTCCCTTCCTACTAATCCCTTTCTTCTATTCCTTCCTTCTCCTTCTGTACCTAAGATTTTTCTTGCCCTGCACCTCCCTACAAGAAAATTCTACCTGTCCTTTAAATCCCAGTCTAAGCCCTGGCTGGTGTAGCTCAGTGGATTGAGCGCGGGCCTGGGAACCAAGCAACCACGGTTCGATTCCCAGTCGGGGCACATGCCTGGGTTGCAGGCTAGTTCTCTCCCTCTCTCCTTCCTTTCCCCTCTAAAGATAAATAAATAAAATCTTTAAAAAAAAAATTAAAAAAAATAAATCCCAGTCTAAAATCATGGCTTCTGTGAATTTTTCTCCAAAACCTCTTTAGACTAGACATGCCTCCTCTTTTCTAGACTACTACTCTTCTTAAAACCCTCTTCTTACATAGAATGATAAATGATGCACTGGCAGCATTACTATCATTTATTATTATTATTTAAATCCTCGCCCTAGTATATGTTTATTGATTTTAAAGAAGAAGGAAGGGGCAGGAAGAGAGAGGAACATAGACGTGAGAGAGAAACGGGGTGGGTTGCCTCCTGTACACACTGAAACCAGGGATCGAACTGTACATACCCTTTTTGTGTACAGGACAATGTTCCAACCAACTGAGCCACCCTGCCAGGGCTTTATTATTTTTTTAAATATTCATTTAGTAGAGTAGTTTTGGGTTCTCAGCACAACTGGATGGAAAGTACAGAGAGTCCACCTATACAGCCTGACTTCACACATGCATAGCTTCACCCTCCTGTACCGCAGTGCATTTGTTACAATCAATGAACCTACACAGCAGTCCTTGAACAGCTATATTTTTTGCAAATATTTTCTCCCAGCCTATGGCTTACACTGTCATTCTTTTTAGGAATTATCTTTATATTCTCCACCAGTAGACTGCAAGGTCTTCAAGAGCAAGGGATCTAAGTTTACACAGTCATGGACACAAAGCATGGAAAGAACTTTTCTGAATCAATGTGAAATATAAATAAATTTGGTATCTTCGTGAAAAGTTAAACACTGAGAACTAGTTAAAAACTGTAAAATCAAATGTGCATGTCATAATAGCCCTAATAATTTTATTTGTAAACAAACAGTTATAGCTATTTAAAGATACACATAGAAAGAGAGATCTAGAAGCAAAAACAAATATAGGCGATCTGTCAGAGTCTCTTCTCTGTGCAAGCTGTCAAAAAGTGCTCTGTCTTTAGCAATGACATATGTTAACTGTCGCCCAAATGCAAGCAACAAAAAGGGCCTGAGGTCATTTCTTGTAAACTTGTAACTGTTCACCACGATTTGCCAACTCCAATGATTTTACTCCCAACTTAGAAAACAAGACCCTAAGGTTTTCTTGTATTTCCCACCAGATGGTAAAATGATCCTCTTCATGATTATGACCAACAGAGCAAAAACAGAACAAAACAAAACAAAAGACCACAAATGCATTTCTTCTGAAGTTCCAAATATTCAGAGTTTTTCTGTTAATCACGAAATCTCTCCACCAGAAGGCGCCAAGGTTTTAATTTGTACTGAATTCAGAGGGTGGGTTGAAGGCAAAATGGGTCAGTGTACAGCAGGTGCAGCCTTAACCCAAACAAAAACACTCGTTTCCATACGTTGCTTTCAGTCTTTAGGATGACACATAGCCAGAGAATGATGTGCGATAACGGGGGTCTCTTCTGGGTCACTGACTCATGTTCACTGCTTTATGACAAATTGATGTTGTTATACCTATCCTCGAAATGTTAAGTTGAAACTCATACTTTGTCTCTTGTGACATTGATCACATCCTTTTGTAGCTTAGTTCATCCTTTGGCTATTCCCATATTTGAGCATGTTTTCTTTCCTACCTAGTCTGAATTTTATTGTACCAATAAATGCCCATTACTTAGAATTTTGTTTTAAGAACACTTTCTGTCATTTGAAGTTTGTAGGAGACTGGTTTGCTTTGGTGTGGGAAATGTGACTCAGCCCTGGATGGAAAACCTACAGAAGCGAAGTGGTGGGCAGGAGCCAGACCTTCAAACCGAGTTTTCCCGTGGGAATCAGGCCTACAAAATGCACACAGACTGTTATGGCTTGCTCTTGCTGAAATTCCATCACCCTGGTCTAAAACAACAAATGTGTATTGTCTATCTTCAAGGTAATTTCCAAAGCCTATGTGAATTTGCCCAAGGACAGAGCTAATCAGCTCATCACCATTCCCCTCTGCATGTTATTTTCATTTCCTTGATTGCACCTAAAGTGTAGACAATAATATCCTATGTAATAGGTAATAAATCTTTCTCTGATGTAAGACCCGAGAAAAACAATAAAAGCCTGTCTAGGCGAGGGTCAGCACGCTTTCCCCTTGAGAGAGCAGTCGTGCCATTCCCTTTTTCTCCACAGGACCATTGTCACCTGTGCGTTTATTCTCATCATCAACCACAACAGGCGGACTCTGCTGGCCGGAGTCCGCCACAGTAGTTGCCATTTCACTGTATAATAATCAAAATGCAGGCTTTTCATTCCTTTTTGTGTTTCGTTTTTCTTTGTCAGCATTAGCTACATCCGTCTCTGTTACTTTTATACCTACCTCATACTTTTGTTTGTAACACACACTTATGAGCTAGGAACCCACTGGTTAACACCCACCGGTAAAATTCCACATTGCTGAACTCCACATACCTTACTTCAACAATAATTTTTGTGTTATTAGAAAGCCCTAAGCCTATTACTGAAAGAACTGAAGCAACAGGTCGTAATAGCCATACGGAAGCATGAAAAGGGGAAATTGACTAAAAAATGCAGGTAAAAAATACTCCCTAATGTAGCTGTTTTCTGATGAAAATAGACCTCAAAAAGATAGCAGAAGAGAGAGATCTCTAGATAATAAGAACAAAGCAAAGTGGCAATAAAATCAAATAGGTAATAAAATAAAAGAAATATGCACTGAATAAATATAAACAGTTCAAGGAAGTAGAGTCATCCTATGAGGATGAAAAGGAAAGACTGACTGTGTCATCTATTTGTATAGTAATTTTGAAGCTCATTTCAGGAAAAATACCTACTTCTAGACGTCAATCTAATTGTGATAAGGAGGTTTATAGACATGAAGCTTCACTGGTAACGATAATAATTTCAAATCACTAAAGGCCATAAAAGTAAAGAAGTAAAGCAATAATACAGAAAGAAAAGTAATATTTACAGAATATATGTCAGAATTTTGCACATCTGCAAAAATGGTGTGAAATGAGAATTATGTATCTGCACTTTATATAGAAAGCCAGATGACAGGACAAGTCAGGGATGCAAGTCCTTTGACTCTAAATCCAGTGCACTTGTCAACTAGGTCATGTTTTCTTAAAGTATATTCAATTCCGAGTGCTGGAAACAAACAAACAAAACAATCAAAAAAACACCTGGTGTGGTTGCCAGATATGGCTTTTTATTTGAAAATGGTTCAGTTCAATTTACTCCATATTTATTGAATGACTGCTGTGCATCAGGGCCTGGGCTGGCTGCCACTGGTACCATGCCTGTTGTTGAGAAGCTTGATATAATGAGGAAAGGAGGGAGGAGATGGGCTAGAGATGGGCATAGCATGCCCTTAGTCCACATAGCACCAGGTGTATTTCAACCTCGAGCTCCAGTAATGCTTTCAGAGGACATGAAGCTAGGCTCGATTTTGAAGGATAATTACAAAATAGAAAACACAAAATTGGGAGAATACGTGTAGATGATGTAACACAAGCAAAAACTCAGAAGACTGGGTTTTAGAATAGGGCAGGCCATCTGGTGAGGTCACTAACACTGGTGATTGTAGGTGCTGAAGCAGCAAATGCTCAAGGCTAAGCCTGGAGGCACGAGGAAAGGACAGTGCATTAGGACTCCATATACCTTGCCATGGCACTTGGACTCAATTGTACAGGTCAGCTTTTCTCATTTTTGAGAAAATACCACTCAAATGCAACCTTTTCTGTGAGTTAACAATGAGAATTCTTAATTTTGTTTCTACTTTCATTATATATATAATGAAATAATACGAGACCTGGACCATTTGGCTTACTGGTTTCTAGTGCTTGTTTTTATTTTTGTCCTGTAGTTTTGTTGTACTTAGTGCACAACATTCCCTTGTGCTGGGGCTGTAAGAAGAATAGAGGGAGTTTTTATATTTAAATCATGTGTCCATGCCAGAAACGAAATGAAGAATCAGACAAATCAAATCATGCCACAGTTCACTACATGCCACTGAAGGCAGTGTTACAGTTTCGAGACAGTATGAACTGTCATACTGAATTAACACTGCATATTTAAATTTTCTTTGTTGTACAGTTTGGTTCATTTTTCATTTGAGAATGTTTTGGTTTCATAGTTGTATTAAACATAAATAGAATGAATTTTTTATGGTTGCACATATATAAGGGGTTTTATAATACAATAAC